ATCCAGCTCTACACCTTGTTATCTCAGATTCTCCAGCATCAGCAGTTCCTACTGTCTCTGAACCAGAGACTTTATTAGCTCAGAGACCTGCCCCTGTGCTTGCAAAATTTCTGTTTCTTATTGCTTGACCGGCTTTGCCTTGTTCTGCTATAGTCCAAGATATATTGCCTAGGGTTATTTGCCCCAATTCAAATACCTTTTCTTTATTGTCATAATTATTTGTTTCTGCTCTCCTTCTGAAGATGCTGTACAGTTCCTCTGTTGTTAGGATTCTTCTGGTATATCACAGAAGTAACCATTATCTTGTGTGAACCTCAATAGTGAGTTTCAGAAGGTGATTCCAGTTCTGTTCTCACAAAATATTTAGCTTCCCTAAAGCCAGGTCTTGCCAGTAGAATTGCTGAATCATAACAAGGTGCAGAACCCATTAACTTAGCTTTTTACCTTTCCAATCAAAAACTGATGCTACTTGTGGTATACCTTTCGTTCCTCTGGCTGGGATAATCCAACTTTGAGCTGACTAGGTGTAAAAGTCCTGACGAGACTCATTTACTGACTACATGGTCTCTCTGGCAATTATGTGTATGTGTATGAATATGTACAAGTGTAAATATACATAATTTGGTTAACTCTTCAGTGCCTATCTGTTGGAAATCCAAGTTTATTCTGTTCTTCATCTAGGGAATGAATCTCCATCATTCCTGATCTGACCAACAGATTTTTCAATATTCCCAAGCACCCCAAAGTGTTATGAAGAAAGTTAGTTGCATGGCATTCTCCACATTCCGCTGAAGGATGGCCAGTTTGTGCTTTTCTAAACAAAAATGGTCATGGAATGTGAGCACTACTGTCTTACTGCCAGCACTAATTGCCATCTGTAATTGTCCAGAGGGCAGTTAACAATCACCCACATTGCTTGGTGTGACCTACATGTGATTACAGACACACAGCAAAGATTTCCTTCCCAAAGGGCATTAGTGAACCAAAAGGGTTTAATAACAATTAACAGTAGTTACATGCTAGCCATTAGTCTAGATTTTTATTCCAGATATTTATTGAATTCGATTTTCACCATCTAACATGGTGGGATTGAAACATGTCTCCAGAGCATTCACCCAGAGTTCTGGATTACTAGACTGGTTCTGGATTTCTAGTCAGTTTGTACTTGAAAACGTTGTCTTCTGTCACCAACATATGATAGCTGATTCAATAAACAAAGTTAGGCATATAAATGTTTTAAAAATCACCTACATGCACTTGATAAATAGTACATAACTGGTTAGTACTCTGCAGTTGCGTTTCTATTTTGAATTTCAACAAGGTAAATGTAATGGACTTCTAATTTCTGTAGTAAATAGCAAATATGCAATATGAAATAAGGCTGGTTTCTCTTTGAGTGCAAGTCCATAGTGCAAAACCGTTCATGAATCAGGTCAAGTTATCAATAAACTGACATACTTATTCAAGAATGCCAAATAACCAAATGACATAAGACGTCTAATAGTGCATTAGTGATTTGCCTTAAGGGTAGGTACTCTGCTCATTCTCTACACCCTCATTGTTTTGTGCTTTTCAATTGCTTGCAGGTGCTTCTCCTTTCAATTTCAGGATGTGTAACTCCTCAATCTCAATCTTCCTCTTGATCTACATTTAATCTTTCTTCAGTCATCTTCTTAACAAGTGCTCATGCCTTAGAATAGAGTACTCATTGATAATATTTCCTCCTTCACAGTGTTGAGATCATCTTCACTGATCTTGTCTTATCACAAACTACTTTGTGCTTCCCTAGCACCACAATTTGCAATTTTCTAGCCTTTGAATGTCTGTTTTTCTCAAGCTTGATGTTTCATCCAGGTACAATAAGACACAGGATACAACATAGGATACAGAATAGGAAAAAACAAGTAAATTGTTCTGCTCCTCATCCAAGAGCTAACAAATCTGAAACTGGATATGCTTTTCTAAAAGGACATGAATTGTTGAAACATTTCATCCTTGGACCAAGATATATTGTCGCATAAAAGTATTTATGGTGACATAATGTTGCAGCTACCTAAAAAAAATTGAATTAAATTCCAACATTTCTGTAGATGAGTGTATCCATGAGGATGAAAACTGTCCTAGGAATCTTTCTCCAATCAATGAGGATAAAGGTGAACTACGATTAGAGCAACATGCTGTCACTCCATTTGGCATTCAAGGAAATTCGAAGAAACGAGGGGTTCTAGAGGAAAGGTAGGAGTAAAGGATATCTCATGCTGAATGTTTTCTCTTATATATCATTGAAAGATTTCTTTTATTTTCAAGCATTTTTGGTTTGTCCTTTTATTGTGTGTCAAAATTTGGCCATACCATCCATGCCAACCAGATATCCTAAATTAAGTAGTTCCATTTGCCAGGATTTGGCCCATATCCATGTAATCCTTCCTATTCATATACCCATCCAGATGCCTTTTAAATATTGTTAGGGTACTAGCCTCCATGACATCCTCTGTCAACTTGTTTTATACATGTCACCACACTCAGTGTGAAAAAGTTGCTCCTTAGGTCCCTTTTAAATCTTTCTTCTCTCACCTTAAACCTATGCCCTCTAGTTTTGGACTCCCCAACCGCGAAAAGACCTTGACTGTTCATCCTATCCCTGCCACTCATGATTTTATAAACCTTTATAAGGTCACCCCTCAGCCTCCGATGCTCCAGGAAAAATAGCCCCAGCCTATTCAGCCTCTCCGTATACTTCAAACCCTCCAACCCTGGTAACATCTTTGTAAATCTTTTCTGAACACTTTCAAGTTTCACAACAGCAGTCTCCCTCCAGAAAGTCCTAACACTCCAGTGCTTTCTGAACTCCCTTGACTCCTAGTCAAGTAGCATGGTGACTTTAAAATTTTCATCTTTGTTTTCAAATTTCACATGGTCTTGTCCATCCTTATCTCTTTAATCTACTCCAGAATGACAATCCTGCAAAATATTGGCATTCCTTTAGTTCTGGCCTCTTGTACATTCTCAGTTATAATTGCCTCACCAATGGTGCCCTTGCCTTTACTTGCTTTGGCTCTAAGTTCTGGATCACCATTCCTACACGTTCTGCTTCTCTACCTCACTTCACTCTTGTAGTAATTTTCTTTAAACCAGGAGAGGTTTTCACCTTCCATATATATGAATCAGTTTACCATTGTTTAGTTAATGATGTATGGGAACAGTAAGTGTAGCCAAAAGTTGAAGCAGTGTAGCAGCTTTAAGAACAGAATAGAGGTTCAATGAACAGATAACAAGGTGTAGAGCTGGATGAACACAGCAGGCCAAGCAGCAACAGAGGAGCAGGAAAGCTGATGTTTCGGGTCTGGACCCTTCTTCAGAACTGGGGGAGGGGAAGGGGATTCTGAAATAAATAGAGAGAGAGGGGGAGGCGGATGGAAGGTGGATAAAGGAGCAGATAGGTGGAAAGAAGACGGACAGGTCAAGGAGGCGGGGATGGAGCCAGTAAAGGTGAGTGTAGGTGGGGAGTTAGGATGGGGGTTGGTCAGTCAAGGGAAGACGGACAGGTCAAGGAGGCTGGGATGAGGCTGGTAGGTAGGAGGTGGGGGTGGGGGTTGAGGTGAGAGGAGCAGATAGGTGGGAGAAAAGACAGACAGGTCAAGGAGGCGGGTTTTGGGATGAGGTCGGGGGTGAGGACAAGCTGGGCTGGTTTTGGGGTGAGGTCGGGGGAGGGGAGATTTTGAAGCTTGTGAAGTCCACATTGAGACCATTGGGCTGCAGGGTTCCCAAGAGAAATATGCGGTGCTGTTCCTGCAACCTTCGGGTGGCATTGTTGTGGCACTGGAGGAGGCCCAGGATGGACATGTCGTCCAAGCAGTGGGAGGGGGAGTTGAAGTGGTTCACGACTGGGAGGTGCAGTCGTTTGTCACGAACTGAGCATAGGTATTCCACAAAGTGGTCTCCAAGCCTTCACTTGGTTTCCCCGATGTAGAGGAGGCCATATCGGGAACAGCGGATACAATAAACCACATTAGCAGATGTGCAGGTGAACATCTGTTTAATGTGAAAGGTTTTCTTGGGGCCTAGGATGGGGGTGAGGGAGGTGGTGTAGGGACAGATGTAGCACTTCCTGCAGTTGCAGGGAAAAGTGCCAGGGGTGGCGGGGCTTTTGGGGAGTGTGGAGCGGACAAGGGAGTCACGGAGAGAGCGGTCCCTCCGGAAGGCAGATAAGGGTGGGGAGGGAAAAATGTCCTTGGTAGTAGTGTCAGATTGCAGGTGGCGGTAGTGGCGGAGGATGATGCGTTGAATCCGCAGTCAAATCCCCCTCCCACTCCTTGGATGACATGTCCATCCTGGGCCTCCTCCAGTGCCACAATGATGCCACCCGAAGGTTGCAGGAACTGCACCTCATATTTCGCTTGGGAACCCTGCAGCCCAATGGCCTCAGTGTGGACTTCACAAGCTTCAAAACCTCCCCACCCCCGACCTCATCCCAAAACCAGCCCAGCTCGTCCCCGCCTCCTTGACCTGTCCATCTCCTCTCCACCTATCTACTTCTTTATCCACCTTCCATCCACCTCCCCCTCTCTCTCTATTTATTTCAGAATCCCCTTCCCTCCCCCATTTCTGAAGAAGGGTCCAGACCCGAAACATCAGCTTTCCTGATCCTCTGATGCTGCTTGGCCTGCAGTGTTCTTCCAGCTCTACACCTTGTTATATCAAAAATAAAAACTGGTCATCTTTTCATTTCATTGTTATTAGAAATCAAATAGAAATCTCCAGCATCGGCAGTTCTTACTATCTCTGAGAGGTTCAATTAAGCCTTCCTTGCTATTTTATGGATAACCTTGAGAAGCGGGGATGGAAGGATTGATTGTGCAGGTTGAATGTAGGGTTCTTCAGATCTTTACAGAAAGAATGAAAGGGGAATGTTTCCTCGACACGCCTGATGAGATCATTAAATTTCATTCTGCTAGAATTTGAAGAAAATGTTGCTCACATTTAAATAAGGGCCATGTCTAAAGGTGCCCATCTACTAACTCATTAGTTGACCATTAAAGGAGTGGAGAATCTCACACCTCTCATGAACTTACTCATTCAGCAAATATTTTAAATTTATGTGTTATAACAATAACTACTATGAAATACCATTCCACAAATTCTATTTTAACAGTTGCTTTGAAAATCATGTAATTAAAGATTTGAAGAACCATTTGAAGATTTGTTTGAAGACTTGGTAGGAGTTTACATTGAACTGATAGTTAAGAATATCTGGTCTAATAGATTTTTACCACATTATCTCCATGCAAAGTGTCAAATTGATAGCAGCTGGGGAAGGTTCAGTCATTACCTCATATACCACCATAGGTCGCCGTGGTACATTGGAATGCCAACATCCTGTGCTAGAAAGTTACCCTGTCCCTTTGATTTTAAAATTTACATTACATTTACACAAATGTGCCTGGAAGTGCAAAATGTTAATCAGCCATTACAGCCTACAGACTAAGGGGATAATTTTAAATAGTACAAATGTGTTATATTTAGCATTTACAGGGTAGACTTCATACCGCACAGAACAGCTCACTCATGTGTTTACTGTTTGAAAGCTTTTACACATGTCTGAGTTATTGATTATCTTCCAAGGCACTACTGGATTCTGTACTGCAGGGTTTAGTTATACAGCTGTGCTAGGTAGCATTGTCCATTTTTATGGCTTAGCTGATTTCCAAACCACTAATGGATTTTGCTGGGAGAGTTTAGATACACAGCTGTTCTGGTGAACCTGAGCTTGTTATATTGACAAATTTATAAGATTTTAATAAGACTGTGGCTTTTCCGGAGCATATTCAAATGATTTGTGTATAGTTTGACAAATGTATAACCGTCCCAATGACTTCCAAGTGTTAATGTAGGTATTGTAAGACATAGGGTGAGAGGGTTAGGAAGGGTGAAGGGTGTGGGGATTGGGAAAAGAGCAGGAAGGGAGGGACCCTTACAGTAATCTGTAAAAATTGGCTTATGTTGCTGTCAATGGAAGCCATCCTTTTACCTAAAACACTGAGAATCCTGGAGATACACAGCAAGTCTGGTAGCATCTATGAACAGAGGAACAAGTTAATGTTTTGAGTCCACTATGAGTCTTCTTCAGAACAGGTCTTTTTAACCTCGCTGATTTGATATCAGCCTGCCTCCATCTCTGCCTTGGGTCTTTCAGGAGCTGGCCTGACTCCCCTTCTCCTCAGAGGAATGTCCCACCGGCTGGCAATGCCAGAATAGAAGGTGGGGTTACATCATGTAGAAAATTCCTAAATCCTAATTCCCATCTCATCTTGAAGCTTCAACCCAACAGGCACATACAACCAACAAGGTAACAAATGATCAAGTAATCTGCTTTTGTGATGTTTATTGAGGAATAAATATTGATCTAGACACTTCTTCAAAATATTGTCATGTGATCTTATACTTCTGTCTGCAAGAACAGATGGCACATCACTTTAATGCCAGAAGACAGTACTGAGGAAGCACCAAGCTTGTGTAAATTACTTGAAACTACAAATATAAAGAACCTTGAACTTTTCAATTCACTTGTTTCTTTATATTTCAAGTTTCATTACAGAAATGTTGGGCTAAATCTTACCAGAAACTGGCTGTATCATTTTCGGCACGTTTCATGGAGGATTTCTATCCAAGAGGCCAGGCAAGTTCTGTCATGCTATCATTCTAAGCTTGTCTCATGCCCCATGGCATCCTGCCTGTCATACTCCCCAATTTTCTGGAGGTGTAAATACTCCCCACTGCCAGCACATCCTTGTATTTACAGCACCATCTTTAAAGGGCCATTGTGCAGACTGGAATTCCCCTTCTCTGTACATATAGTGAATGAGCAACCACAAACCAATGCTTATCAAGGTACATAGGTGACAAAGCTGTCACTTCATTGCACATACAAGTGCACAGTCTCACATCTATTGCTGTTTAAGAACCAAGCCCTATACCTTACTCATCCTTAGCCATATCCCATTACTATTCTGCCAAAGTCAATACTACACTTTCCACAATCCTGATGTAACCCAAATTCTTGTCATTATTTAATGTGGGACCATCACATACAGGGAAGCCTTCAAACAACTTAAAACAATTACCTTTATTCAGCAACAATGGAAGCACATAATAAATAGACAAACAGAAGCTTCCAAAATGTGGTACTTCACCCAGCTCTCATCTACTGGAACTGGCTGTTAATTAGGTCCTGTCTGGCTTGTTGCACTTGTTGCTGCAGTACTCTACTACACAGAAGGTGAAGTCCTTCTGCTCAATTTCCTCATCTTCCTCCTCATGAGATTGCTACTGCTGTTCCAGCTATTCAGCATCCATTGCATCCCCTCTTTGCCTGTTCCAATTGTGGAGTGTGCAGGATGCAATTATGCAGCACGCTCCGTCTGGAGTGTACTACAAGGTCCTCAAGATAGATCTGAACTTAAGAACCTCCGCCTCAAGAGGCCCATTATCTTGTCCACCATGGCACTGATCAAAGAATGGCCTCAATCAGCATTTGCTTAATGGAGTCATCAGCCATGGTCGCAGTCACCCAATAACCATCCTTGTAAGGCACCTGGTATTCAAACTGACACAAGAACATGAGAGTTCTCAAACGTGGCCATCATGTTAGATCCCTGGGTACTTCGTGCAGTCTTCCAAGATGTGGTACGAATGGTTGCAGATGATTTGCACATTGATAGTATAGAACCTTTTTGTGAATTCAGCTGCATCTAATATGACACTCACAGTGCAACATGTGAACAGTCTGTAGCGCCCCACACGTGGGGAATCTAGCTACGTTGGCAAAGCCTACTGCCTAGACTGCAGCTCCAATCTTGACACAGGGAAATAAGATAAAGCAGTGTGATCTGACACAAATTGTTTTAATAACAGCCTTGATACATTTGTGGATTGAGGGTTGACAGTCCCACATGGGGCCCCAGTGAACCCTTGAAAGGAGCCAATAGCATAAACGTTTTATGCAACCATCACTTTGCCAGTCACCGGGACAGAATGATCACCCACTCCTTTAGGTTGCAGGACTCGCTCCAGTAGTTGGTATAGTTCTGTGACAGTGCTCCGGACAATCCGTAGCCTCTGGCATCACGGCAACTTGCTCATCTTGAAATGGCTTTGAGGACAATAGACTCTGTCCCTTCTGTATCTCCTCCTAATGGGCCTTTCAGCTGTGACCTCTTCATGTGGAGACTCTTCAGCCATCGCTGGAAGTTGTTACTGGTACTGAGATTACTGGTACATCTGTTCCTCCTTCATCTCTCTTTGCTTTTGTTGCACTAAGGCAACAGTAATGATAACCCCTGCTGTGCCTAGATCCATAATCCATGCTTGCAATATACCCATGTGGGGAGCATAAGAAACAGAACTTAGTAATGTGAGCAGTCAGCATTCACATCACATACAAATGGCAGTTTAGTATAGACTTCCATACAGTGGGACATTGAGGGCTATGGAGTACTTCTCCTTTGAACTTTGACATAGGACCTTATTCCAATGAATGAATCAGCAGTCATGCTGGAAAGGGATAGTGGGAGATAGTAAATGCTACGTGAGTACTGAATACTTGTCCTCCCATCCCCAGATCACCATGAAAGGCATAATTAAATAAGAACATGTTGGAGAATCCTTACAGTTAAAGATGAGAGGAAGCAGCTCCCTGCCATGTGCAGCCAATGAGATCTTGGACTGTCTTTGTGAATTGTGGCTGGCAGGTGCCACTTTTAAGGTTCTCTGTGATCTCTTCTGTTTTCACAGAAATGACTATCTTAAATCTGCAATGACTAATGGCATGGTCAAGGTTGTTTGTGACCAGCCTTTGCACCCCACACAGTTGTACGGTGCAAACATTTCACGTGTGGTGCTGTGATTATGGGTGAGTGCCTGATTAATGCAATTGCTCCCTGATGGGCCTTGCATCATTCACAGGTAGAAGTCATGTCCTCATGTGGGTAAAACCTTCTGACTCTGCCCGCTCTGGGTGTAGTCATGCACATTTTTGAGTTCAGTGAATATGGCAGAAAACACAGATCATGGTTGTCTTAACCTGATAATCAAACCCACCCTCTCTTTTAAACCTTAATATCCGTTTCTTCTTGGCACTCCCAGGCAGCCAATCAGGTCCGATCTTCTCCATGTTCTCATACACCATCTGGAATTATGCCTGCAGCCTCATTGATTCCCTTAGTCCTGGCAATATATCTTAGCGTTACTCACCATTGGGCTGCAAGGTTCATTCCCCATTGACCCCACAGAGGTGGTGACTGCTGACAACAACATACCCTTCCTCCACAATGTTCCATGTCCTCCCATACACTATTGCCTTCTCCACTTATATCTTCACCATTCTTATTCCCTCTGCCTTCCAAGTTACCTCTAATCCCCAGAATTTATTTCTCCAACTTCCCTAACACAGCACAGACCATGATTTCCCCAAAAAGTAACCCTGACTGTGTCCAGGCCCCTGGATGGAGAACTGACATTGACCATAACTGACTGTACTGAGGTCCACTGACTGACAGCAACTCCCCTTAGACTTTGAGACATGGCCATTTGATTTATGCACATGCAGTGTATTTGCTGCATTTACTGCCGATGCATGCTGAGATTGACATAGCATGGAACTATACAGTAACATATTCGCTCCATGGCTAAGGCAGGAAAATGCCAAAAGACAAGGCAGGGGTGCTGTGAGCATCCAAGTTGGCATAAAATGAGTGAGTTCTACGAGAGTGAGCAAGCTGCTCTGAGATGCTGTCTGGGTCCAATCCATGAGTTAAAGTGAGATAAGTGGCTAAACATATGTGCAAAATGTCCTTACAACTGCATTCTAATGAAAAGTGCTCGTGTATTCCAAAGTGCGGTATTGAAGTGTAGAACTATACTGTGAGTGGGTTGGAGATGTACTATGAGAATTTCAGTAAGGCTGTCATGTGTTATATGCCAAGGTTTGTGGAAAGGGGATGCATGCAGTCACTGCCCATACTGCCCTGAGATATTGGTGGCCAAGATGAAAGTCTGGAGAGGCAAGCAGCACATCCGAATTGCCAAGTAATTGCTCTGACTTTCGTGACGTAAATTATTGCCTTCTAATATCTATCCAACAGTTCAAAAGTAAAAAATTGCATAATAATGAGGTGAGAATAACTAATAATAATATGCTAATACATGCAAATATCACTCCCTAGCAAGAATCCCATCTAACTGTTCAAAGTTTGCTTGGGAAATGGGACTTTTTGCTGTTGACATCAAGAAGCTCCTCGCTGGCCATCTCATATGATTTTCCCAACTTTTTTACTGTGGCCAATGTCCTTTAGGTGGGATGATTCTGCCCATTTTATTTTGTTTTGGACAATAGTTTTCTGTTTTGTGGTGGCTTTGTTTGAAGACCTTCCCTCTATACTGTTGTAGATTGTGTAAATTTTTGTGATCACACCACTGGAGTGAAATTTGAACCACAACTTCCTGACTGAGAGAGATGAGTGTTACCATCTGAGCTACAGCTGACAAAGCACAGTATTTAGGTGTGAAGCAACCTGTAATGGTATGGTTTTTACATTTTCTTACATTTCTCAGGATTTAAAGGCAACTATCTTAATGAGCCAAGAGAAAATGTTTTGCTGCCCTTCACTTCAGTTTCATTTTGTAGTACTGCTATTTTTGAGAATGTTCCAAATCATTTATCACAGACGAACAAACAGCAAAGCCATAGAATGCAAGCTAAGCCAATTTGTTAACATATTTTATCCGCAGCAAGTCTAAAAATACAAAAATTTCTTATGATGAATAGTCAGCATCCAGGAAATTTCTCCACAGATGCTGTTTGATCTTTTGAGATTTTACAGTATTTTCTGTTTTGATGTTGGTTGACTTTCCACTCTTGCTCTCAGGGGTTAGACTCTACTCCTTTTTTTTGCTAATAGAGATTACCAGAAATTGGAATTTTAAAACAAATACATAATATTAATCTAAGCCCACTTATTGTTTCTCCCAGACCCATCAGACCTGGAATTAGTGAAAAGCAAAAGACTTTTGAAGATCTTGTTGAAGAACTACTTAAGGTCGATTCAGAATTAATTCAACAGGATCCACAGGTAAGAAAGTCATTTTCCTTGGTGCCAAACACAATTGTATTGTTGGTTGAAGTGATTCTATAATTTCAACATTCAAGAAAGATGCATAGAAATCAGGTGCCAAGTAATTCCACTTAATATTAACCATTGAAAGAAGTTCCTACAAAGGATCAGTAGTAATCAGGGAGAGTTTGGATTTTAATGTCAACAATGAGTATGTTTATGATTAAGTGGGAAGTTAAAATATTAAATATTTCAAACCTGAACCTAATTCATTTGAACTCTCTCTTTTCCAGTTTTAATGGAGGTGAGATGGAGGGATATGGGCAAGTAACCACCTTGTTCTCAGGAGATATATAGGAAGGATATTGTGAAACTTGAAAGGGTTAAGAAAAGACTGACAAGGGTATTTCCAGGGTTGGTGAGTTTGAGCTACAGGGAGAGGCTGAATAGGCTGGGGCTATTTTCCCTGGAGCATTGGAGGCTGAAGCGTGACCTTATAGAGGTTTGTAAAGTCATGAGGGGCATGCATAAGGTGAATAGCCAACGTCTTTTTCCCAGGGTAGGGGAGTCCAGAACTAGAGGAAATAGGTTTAAGGTGAAAGGGAAAGGTTTAAAAGGGACCTAAGGAGCAACCTTTTCATGCAGAGGGTGGTACCCATGTGGAATGAACTACCAAAGAAGGTGGTGGAGGCTAGTACAATTACAACATTTAAAAGGCATCTGGATGGGTACATGAAGAGGAAGGGTTGAGACGGGTATGGGCCAAATGCTGGCAAGTCAGACTAGATTAATTTAGGATATCTGGTCGGTGTGGACGAGTTGGACTGAAGGGTTTATTTCCGTGCTGTACATCTCTATGACTCTATGACTCTAGTAGAGTTTTTAAGTATTCTAATTAGATTCCATGTCTGGTATCCTGCCTCCATTCTAAATTTGTATTCTGTTGGCCACTTTGCATGAGTCTTGGGAATGTGGCTGCTGAAGGTGGGTGAAGACTGCTTGATCTAGCAAGTGTGTGTCTTTCTAGCAATGCTATGAGCCAGTGGAAGCAAGAGGGCTTCCTCTCAGTGGCCCGTACTTGCCTGCAAAACTCACCTGTAATGAACCACGTATGAAATGCGACCTTTAATAAATGATACTTCTCAAAATAAGTATAGAATTCTTGTGGAATTGTAGGCGTTGCAGGCACCAGTGACCCCGGTTCCATTTCACTCTTGGGTGACTGTCTGTGTGGAGTTTGCACGTTCTCCCCATGTCTGCTTGGGTTTCGTCCAGGTGCTCTGGTTTCCTCCCACAGTCCAAAGACGTGCAGGCTAGGTGGATTGGCCACGCTAAATTGCCCGTAGTGTTCAGGGATGTGTAGCTTAGGTGGGTTATAGGGGGATGAGTCTGGGCGGGGTGCTCCGAGGGTTGGTGTGGACTTGTTGGGCTGAAGGGCCTGTTTCCACATTGTAGGGATTCTATGATCTATGATATCAGTTCCTAAAAAATGTTGAGGTCTCCTATCTCAGGCTTCTGTATTGACTTTCCTAAGTCAATACAATGGCACCTTTTACTCTCTTATCTGTATCAGTGTGTAGTAAAGGCTAAAAAATGGCTCCAAGCATGAGTTGAAATGAAAGATGATATTGAGCTAAAGTGACGGACAAGGGGAATATGAGCCCCTGGCACTTTGGTTACCTGTTCTCAGGTTGTTGACTAGAGCTTTTTGAATAAATGGAACAAAATCAAAGTTGCTGGAAAAGCTCAGCAGGTCTGGCAGCATCTGTGAAGGAAAAAACAGAGTTAACATTTCGGGTCCAGTGACCCTTCATCAGAACTCCGATTGACATAAGTTGAAGCTTCAACCCTTCGAAATAAAGTCTATTAACAGGTGCTCAGAGACAAGGGAAAAAGGACTACTTCCACCGCTTCAGGTAGATGAAGATTAAGTAAAGCATGTCCTAGACTACTGAAGAGAATACAGGCACTACAAGCTACAGAGATCAACATACTCTGTTATTCTGTAGGATCAGTAAATTACTCTCACCTGTCATGGGCTGTATATTTTTCCTATCTATTTAGATTATGCATCATTTTTAAACTGTTGTAACTTAATAAACTACCTGAAAACCGTTTATTAATTCTTGACCACCTATTTTGGTAACTTGTGATTCTCAAATCTTATAACTTAATCCAACATTCCTTTCCCATTATATGATTTCCTACCCTCAAGCCACAAAATCACAGAACCAGTCTTTCCAATTTCCCCCGGCCCTTCCATTTCCCAGCAGCTCATAATTGTGACAACAAGCCAACCCCTCAATCTGGCTGGCAATAGTGGAAAATGGAAACAAAAATATGTTCATTGGCTCCTGTTGTTAAATTCTGCAGGACCTAAGGCAAAGCTAATCTTGTGTTATTCCTGAATGCAAAACAGCTCCTCCTCTGCCTCCCCATGTGAATCAGATCCAATAGATCAGAAAATGTATTATAATCAGTACCAACTGATGTTACAGAATTTAGAGATCTGAGATGAAACATCGAATAAGGAAGCAAATAGCATTAAAGAAATGAACTGGGTATTAGTGAATATCTTGACCTTCAAGACAGTGATAACATAATGGATCGGCTACACAGCATCATCATCATAATTTAGTACTGCAAGATATCTGATTGGAGATGGAACTCAATCATTGTATACTGACTGTTGATCACTGTGGCCTGCCTTTTGTCCTTTCTGAAAGCATGAAAGTCAACTATAACAGTATTATCCAAAGGGTGTGAGAACATGATCAATAACCTTGATGCTTGGTCAAGTGGTATCTGCCAGTAACTTCTGCTGGCATTAGTGGTGAAGAATTTTTCTGGCCATTTTCTAATCTATGACAACATTGTTTCTGTCACCTGCTGCATGGCCAGTATGGCATCTGGTTTGTTACCAATGTCTGGCTTGGTTTGTGACAAAAAAAAACTTCAGATGCTGGAATCCAAGGTAGACAAACAGGAGGCTGGAAGAACACACCAAGCCATGCAACATCGGGAGGAAAGGAGCAGTCAACGTTTCGGATATATTCCTCAGGACTGGATGTGGGGGTGGGCGAGTTGCAGTTAAAGAGACTGGGAGAGAAGTGGAGGCAGAATGGTAGTGATAGGTATGACCAGGTTGGTTGATGGGACTGATGAATCCAGTTGGTGACTGGAAGGGAGGGTTGAAGTTGGAATGGAAGGAAGAAGGTGGCGGCTGGAAGGGGAGCCAAGGGATGGGTAGAAATGTTATTTGAAACTGGAGAGCTCAGTGTTGAGTCCTCCAGGCTGTAGGGTGCCCAGGCTGAAGATAAGTTGTTATTCTGCAAATTTGTGTTGCAAATCTCTGTGACACTGGAGAAGGCCGAGGGCAGACATGTCGGACGGGGAGTTGAAATGGGCGGTGACCGGGAGGTTAGGTTGGCTATTACAGGCCAGGCTCGGCAAAACAGTCACCTAGTCTACACTTGGTCTCACCGCTGTAGAGAAGACCATATCAGGAGCAACAGATGCAATAGGTTAGGTTGGAGGAGAAGTAGGTGAAGCTCTGTCTCACTTGGAAGGACTGTTTAGGGCCCTGAATGGAGGTGAGGGAGGTGGTGTGTGGGCAGGTGTTGCATCTTTTACAGTTACAGGGGAAGGTACCGGGTGGGTTGGAGTGGTTGGTGGGGAGTATGGCATGAACTAAGAGGTTGCGAAGGGAATGGTCCTTGCGGAAGGCAGAGGAAGTTGGGGAGAGGAAGATGTTCCGGGTGGTGGGATCTAATTGGAGTTGGTGGAAGTGTTTGAGGATGATACGCTGGATGAGGAGGCTGGTGGGGTGGAAAGTGAGGACAAGGAGACCCTGTCTTAATTATATTTGGAGGGGAGTGGTTAATAGCTGTGGAGTGCGGAATGAAGGAGGCACGGTGGAGGGCTGTCTGAATGACAGAGGAGGGGAAAAGAGCGTTGTTCGAAAAAGGTGGACATCCGGGATGCTTGGGGGTGGAATGTCTCCTCATCAGAGCAGAGGCGATGGAGATGGAGGAATTGGGAAAACAGAGGAATTGGGAACACTCCCCCTCCGACATGTCCATCCTCGGCCTCGTCCCATGTTGCAGCAACTCACAACGCAAATTTGAAGAACAACACATTATCTTCTGCCTGGACACCCTACAGCCTGGAGAACTCAACATTGAGTTCTCCAATTTCAAATACCCTTCTCACCCATCCCCTGGCTCCCCTTCCAGCCCAATCTGCTCCCTTCCATTCCACCTTCTGACCCTCCCTTCCAGCTACCAACCGGATTCATCCCTCCCATCAACCAATCAGATCGTACCTACAATCAGTGTCCACCTATCACCACCATTCTTCCTCCACCCCTCCCCTACCTCTTTATCTGTAGACCCCCCTACCCCCACATCCAGTCCTGAGGAAGGGTTATACCCAAAACGTTGACTGCTCCTTTCCTCCAGATGCTGCCTGGCTTGCTGTGTTCTTCTAGCCTCCTGTTTGTTTACCTCGGGCTTGGTTTGTCCCTGTTCTTTTAATGTACGGTAGATCTTGTCTCACTTGCTGTATCAATTATCTGGACATAAGCATTTATTAAAAATTTGTTTGTGGGACGTGGGCATCGCTAGCTGGCTTGTATTTATTGTCTATACCTAGTTGCCCTTGAAGAGACTTTATAATGATTGTTACAACTGAATGTCTTGCTAGGCCATTTCAATGGTGATTGAGAGTCAATCACATTGCTGTGGGTCTGGAGTCACATGCAGGCCAGACCAGGTGAGGATGGCAGATTTCCTGAAGGACATTAGTGAACCAGATGGGATTTTCCAACAATCGACAATGGTTTCATGGTCATCAGTAGATTCTTAATTCCAGTTTTATTTTTATTCCACCATCTGTCACAGCGGGATTCAAACCTGGGTCCCCAGAATATTTGCTGTATTTCTGGATTAATAATCTAATGATAATACAACTAGGTCATTGCCTCCCCTAAAGTAATGATAAAGTAGTTCCAACTGTTT